CCCAGATGTTCGAATTTGTGCAACGCAAAAAGGGTCAATTCCGAATTTGCTATGACAATCTGGCGCTTCTGAATCAGCGACTGTAAGTATGTTTTGTTATTAGTTTTTTTGCTTTTGACTGTTCAAATGCGGAGTTTTGAGCAGCGCAGAGTAACGCGTCGCATGTGTGTGTGTGAGGGGAACTGGGTCACATCACAGGAGAGTGAACTGCCTGTCAGAAATCATAGCATGTCAGCTGTCTTAACCGCGGCTTGTGTACTGCATCATCACTGTGTCACGTGACTGACGGTAAAACTAAGGACATTATTAACTAATAGGACATTATTAGTCTTGATATTTACTTTGAAAGCTGAAGCTCGCGATTATGGTAAGGGGCGTTACATTTCCGATGCGTGCTTGTGGTGTTCGGCCAATCACAATGCACTGGGTCAGCTGGCCAATCAGAGCAGACTGCGCTTGTCAAAGGAGGGGGCTTTGTTGAAAACGACGTGTTTGAGAGAGGCGGGGCATAGAGGACCTACAATAATGTACAGTATTTGAAAAATAATGTGTTTTTTGAACATTAAAGCATGTCAACATATTCTGTTACACCTAATACACAAAATAATGATCTTTAAAATAGCATCATATGACTCCTTTAAAATTTTCTTAAGAAAATCTTAAAAAATATATTTATTAAAAATAATTCTTACTGACCTCAAACTTTTGAACTGTTCTGTATATACCATGTACTGTGTGTAAAAATGTTGAGCAGCACAACAGTACATAATACAAATATAATCATGGGAAATGTTATCTTATGAAATGTTAAACTATACCTATGTATGCAGGTTAATTACCTGCTTTAGGTTGTGTCCTTTATCTTTACTGCAGGGCTACAGAAATGCCAAAAAAAGTTAAAAGATTCAAACCAGACAATAATCCTATGAAATCTAGAAAAGACGAGATCAGCTGCACACGGTTGTTTAACAACATTAAAAACTCTTACATTCTTATCTAAGCTGCCACAGCTTACTTGTGTGTGGGTTATGTATGTAGTTATTTTTGTATTTTTGTGATTGTTGATTTTTTTATTTTTTGACTGTACTTACCAATATTTCCCCTATCCTGATCATAAGACACCGATAAATGGATAACTGTTCTCACCATGATGGAGCCTGAGCATGTCACTGAACAATTGAGGCCCCGTCCACACGGAGACGCGTTTAGCTGTATACGCATACATTTTGTATCGTATAGGCGTTTCGTCCACACGGATCCGGTGTTTTGGGAGAGTGAAACCTATATTTTTTTAAACCGGGTCCCAGATAGAAATGGGCGTATCGATCCAAAGTATCGATATATCGATACTGATGCGAGTATCGAAAGTATCGATACTCAAACAAAAAATATCGATACTAAGGTGTGTTTTATTTACCAGTGATTTTGTTAATTTAACAAAACAAAACAAAAAAATGCATTGAATTGGATGAATAACCTTTGTTAGCGAGTAATTGTGTAGGATAGAACTATTTTCCTGCTCATCTGGACACGCAAATGTTGCAAGACAGAACTAATCAATCACAGAGAGCGTTCACTCACTTCTGACAGTACATTCAAACAGGGCTGCTTTTCCCAAAAGTATCATAAGAAAGCAGTAAAGCTTTTGGGAACTGTAGCCCTGAACAATGCTTATCATAGGACATAAGGACAGAGTTATTTCACAATAAACAAACTGAAATTGTAGCCTACATAGTTTGTGCAATTACAGTTATTTAAATTGAACATTGAAAGATAATATTGATCATGTTCTATTCTGTAATGTTAATAGAAATCATACACTGTCAGAATAAAAGGTTGCATTTTATGCATGCAACAGCCTGTCTCTGGCAGTCCCTTATGAAAATGAACCATGGTTTTACTAAAGTGACCGTAGTTCAACTGTAGTATTTGTAGATTTGAATCATGTGTAAACAAAAAACATATTTGAACCATGTGTAAACAAAAATATAACCTAATAAGTTACAATTAAGGCGTATTGAATGTTAAAATGCGTTTTAAACAAAGTTAAGTGCTTATCATTACCCATTTTACTCTTAGTAATTTAATAATTTCATAAATTAAAAGTTTAGTTCAGAAGTATCGAATCGATATTGACGATACTGCCTTCAAAAATATCGGTATCGTATCGAAAACAAAATAAGTGGTATCGCCCATCCCTAGTCCAAGAGAGGATAAATCTGAAAACGCCGCCCTTGCGTTTTCGTGTGGGCAGCGAATCCGTATATTTTCTGAAACGATGACGTCATCAGCCCACGCCTCGCCCCGAGTCAGACACCGCTGCGTCACGTAACAGCAACAAAAACATGAACAAACACTGAACGATTGTCTTTTTATTAACTAACATTAACACAGATTAATAAATGTATTGTTCCATGTTCGTTTGTATACCGCGCGCAAGGTTTATGCGCATAGTCCAAGTCTTCTTCTCCATTTTTAGTGTATCTCTGTGGCAGAATTACAGCGCACATACTGGTCTGGCATGTATACTACATCGTTTTGTGTCGGTTTTGTGGTTTCGTGTGGACGCAGATATTTCTTGAGACGAGGGAGAAAAAAAAGATCGGATAGGGAAAGCTCTGGCTTCGTGTGGACGTAGCCTTAATTTAACTAGCTTATAAAGAGATCTCCATGTTTTTTTCCCCCTTTTCTCAGTAATTTCAATTTTAAGATTAACATTTCACACTAAAAAGTGGTCTCATTCGTAGATCATTCCTATCTGTGACTGAACTTTGCAATCTAAATATACAAGCACTCAAAATGCTCTTCCTCTTACCAGTTTGTTAAATTATAGCATTGATAAATTTAACATTTTAGTCTCCTTTTTCCCCATTCACCCTTGTCCTTTTATGGCTCTGTAATATGTTGTAAACTGAGAGGAAATATGATGCTAGTGACTCATCATGAGTTTTTACCATTCAGCTGGTGTTAGATGACTCTTGCATGCCAGATGTTAAACTACTTTTGTATAATCAGGTTATGGGGTTTTAAGCTGAGTCACAAGAACACAAGAAATGTTAATTCTAATACAAAATCAAGTT